TGTCGGCGCTCCCCCAGAGTCGACGCAGGGGGGAATATGCCCCCGGGAACGAGAAACCGCCCCGGTTTTATTTCGCTGTCATGCGTGCACTTGTGACTCTGTCACCTACTGCCTCTGGGATAAAATTTAAACGTTTTGATGTGTCATGTCCCAGGTGGTCTTGAAATTACCGACCTGCGTGTGTCAGCAGCTCTCCAGTCAGCAGCTGCGGCCAGCGGAGCTGCGTTGTCCTGCAGTGCTTCCAGACAGGCCGCAAAGCAAATTTGCTTTCCCTGGCGATGAGGGATCGGGAGGACTCTCGGTTACCGTAACGACATGGTAGAGCTACGTGCTGAGGTTTCATTTAAGCGTTTCTATGCTCGTTTCGGCACAGAAATGAAGTGAGGGGGTAGGTGCATGAAAGGGGAACCACCAGGCTAGAAGAAAGCTGTTCATGGAGTTCTTCAAGAATGGTTCTTGGGGCAAAAACATGATAACAAGAAAGTACTTGGAGGTCGCTGGCTGACAGCAGACTCTGCAAGTCCTTAATCCGCATCAGTCTGGTTTCTGCCATGAAGTTCAGCCATCTGCATGGGACACTGCAGGTACCGCCGCTGTCAACACTCCCAGTTACGAGAGCGAAATAAAGTGGTGTTGAAGGCCCTCATGAGGCCAGGGGTGGCAGCACCGGTCTCTGTAGTCCTTTACCCCTGCGCTGGAAGGCTTTCTTTTAAGTATTTCTGACAACTCACTGCAGTGATTTTTCCAAGTAACAAACATCACCCACATGTTCTTATCTTCCCCTGTGTAAAGTAACAATGCCTGACCGATCCCAGAAGTTTGTCCTCACGTATTGACACAGTTGTGGTGTGAGAGACCTGCACCTGGCTGTACGTCTGTAAGCAGCACCCAGGAGCGCACAGCTGGTCGGCACAGCCCTCCCAAACCACTGAGCCCTACTCCTATTTACCTTTCTGGTGTCACAGTGGTTTTCCTTTCTTCATGGGCTGTGGGACGGGATGGCATATTCACTAGAGGCTACCTTCAGAGTCTCAGAGCCCACCACACACTACTGTGTTCCACCTCCTTATGGTGTGTTATCAGCGTGGCTATATTCGGCCCTTCACGATAATCCAAACTTCTGAGTGCGTCTCGGTACGCAGAAGCCTCTAGCTAAGCTTTCATCACCCCTTGAGCACAGCCTGCACTTCCTCCTAACACATGCAGTCTTCTTCCTCCACACGTTCTCACTAACATGCCAAAGTACTACCCTGGAGGAATATAATCTTCAGATGTTTGCTGGTACTTCCCTCACGTGCACTGCCTGTTCAAGCACCAGGCTACTGTTTTTGAGCTATTACTATTGACTGGCAGTGTCTCTTCACCACTGCCTACAGCACGGTGGCTGCAGTACTAATGATGGCTTGGTATTCTGAGTCGGCAGACTGAGGTTTTCACTGAGAACTGAGGCATAGCATGCATGCGGATTACATAAATGGAAACATTAGTTCTGGTCAACAATACAGCGTAAATGCAGAAACGGACTAAACTGCACTGAAGATGTGAAGCTGAGAGACATGACATCAAAGTAAAGCAGAAAATCTCACTCAGGTCACACTGAGTTTGCACTCAGGTCCAGAGGAAGACCACAAAAATGATCAGAGGGCTTGAACACCTCTGCTACGAGGAAAGGCTGAGAGAGTTGGGGCTGTTCAGGCTGGAGAAGAGAAGGCTCCGGGG